GTTTTGTGCTAAATCTTACATTTCAATTGTGTGTGCTATTTATTTCCGAATTTGGGTTGTCTTTTCGCTTTGGCTCTTACTTCATGATGGTGTCACGCGATTGGCCCAATTGGTGTTGTGAATAAACCCGCTCTCAGTATTAGGCGCTCTGCGCTTCACTGCTGTACTATGTTTGCACACACGAATAACAGTTACTATCATGCGTGACATGCTCTGCGCTCGGCATATCAAGCACTGATCCACCATCAGATCTCTGTCCCTACTTCCCTTTTTCTGCTTTATTTTCTATTTATTCCCGTAGCTATGCAGAAGACGTTACTTCAGTAACGTCTGGCGCTAGCCAGGGTCCACACAGCTTTAATTTGGTGTTTGTTTGTGTGTTTGTTTGTTTGTGTCACGCCTGGAGCTATCCCGTATCTGTCCCGTATCTGTCCCGTATCTGTGACTACAAAGGCTCTACAGGATTGTACATAAGGCCACCCTTTCTTTTTTCGTTGTTTAACGTCCAAGCCCGCGTACCTTTTTGCCTCCGACCGGAAAAAACCCAAGAAAGTAGTAGTACCAATAATATGCGAAGTTGTAAATACATGATTGTGTAGTTTCACAGTGTGCCGATCATGACCTTAAACTTATAATCTTGCCTCCCGGGCATGCCTTTGTCTTGTGTTCTTTTTCTTTTTTTGTTGGCTTTTAAATATCGTACGGTGTGTGTCCTAGTAAAAATCCAGATGTAATGAATTCATGACATGCTAACTCCATGCTATGTACCTGTTTTGTTGGATTCATCAGGCATGTGCTCCAATGTACCATCAAAGAGTTTGTTTGTTTGTTACCTTTATTTTACTTCACCATAGGTACAGGCATTGCTGCCTTCTTGCTGTGGATCATAAATGATGCCACAGCTCCTAGGCTATGATGAAAAATATAATAGTATGATAGATTAATAAGATAAGATGTCATGACCGTCAGCAGGACAATTATAAAAATACCATGCAGCAGTGTATTTTATGTGTGTTGTGGTTGTACATGTAGATAATATTGATGATGGACAGGGGACAGAACGTACTCGTGTGTCAATAGCTAATGGAGTGAAGTGAGATCAAGATCTGAAAGATTTTTTGAAATGAACAAGGTTTGTTAGAGAGCGGGTAGCATCAGGTAGAGAGTTCCATGTGGTGCTGCCCAGAAATTGGATAGAACATCTCCCAGCAGGATTGGGTAGGAATGGGATGCGAAGTAAATTATGCAGCTGCCCACGGGTGACTATACGATCAGCAAGTGGTATCTGAGGCTGGGCAAGTAATACAAAATAATCTTGAAAGAGAGAGCTTGCAGATCCGTGTATAGACCGGAAAACAAATACAAGCAGCTTCTGTAAAAGGACTTGGTGAAGTGATGGTATGGATAACTTAGCAAGCAAGGGAGCTGTTGCAGTGCGGCGGGGAGCCTGAAACACAGCACGAATACCAGACTTATGCAGTTTTACAAGGCAATTACGCAGAGACCGTGAAAGCGCAGGAAAGAAGCAATTAGAGGCGTAACAGAGATGAGATAGTATCATAGACATATACCACATTCGACGTGCTTTCAGTGACAAGGCCCGGCCATGCCTCCAAAGCTGTCCAGTGGTCGCCGCCAATTTTTTCGCCAGAAACTCGATGTGGGGTGCCCAAGTTAGCTGGTCATCAATCAACACACCGAGGTATTTTGCCACGTGTGTGACTTGCAGAACACTGTTGTTGCAGGTGACGAGTGACGGAGCAGCGTCAAACAAACCTCTGGGACGAATAAACATCACTTGAGTCTTAGCTGAGTTCAATAGCAAACCTTTGTCTTCAAGCCAGGACGAAAGATTGGTGACTGCTGTCGTGAGCACAGCACAAACAACAGCAGGGTCACGGTCGGAGTAATCAACAACGATATCATCTGCAAACTCTTGATTGCAAACTTCATGTGGAAGCACAGACGCTATATCACTTATGTAGAGAACAAATAAGAGAGGTCCAAGTACACTTCCTTGAGGAACACCTCTGGAGCATGGAACTGGCGTTGAAATCTGGTCTTTGATTTTGACACACTGTTGACGTTCGGACAGGTATGAACAAAACCACTGCAGCACCACACCACCAAGCCCAAACTCAAAGAGGATTTGAATAAGCTGGCGATGGTCAACTCTATCAAATGCTTTGGACATGTCAACCATGACGATGCCCGTGTGCTTGCGTTCAGATTTAGCTAATAACCAACGGTTGGTGGCAAGGATCAGGGCATCCTCGGTAGAATGACCCTTACGGTATGCAAACTGAGATGGGGGGAGTAGACAATGACGACTCAAGAAGTTTGTCATCTGTTGCTTAACAAAATACTCCAATATACGTGAGACGATAGGTAACAATGAAACAGGTCTATAATTCTTTGCTGATGTCGCATCGCCTCCCTTGAAGAGTGGGCTCACATGTGATCTCTTGAAGGAAACTGGCACCTTTCCACCGGATAGGGATCTGTTTATAATACGAGTTACATACGGACCTAGGGTGACTGAGCAGCGGCTAAGTACTATACCAGGAACACCATCGCTTCCAGTAGCTTTCGTGGGGTTGATGCACTGTAAGCACTTGGAAACATCAGGAATCTGAACTGCAGTGAAAGATGTCAGTCCCACTGAGCCAGTTGGGCCAGCTGGCATTGGCAATGTGGCTGGTCGATGGGGATCATGGACAATGGCTCCAAATGCATCATTTAGCTCTGTGACAGTTACTTGTGGTGCGTGCCGACTCTTCGTTCTGCCTGTTACGGTGTTCATGACTGCCCAAAGCTTCTTCTGATCTGCTGTAGCACATTGCTCTATGAAATAGAGATTTTTCAGCCGCCGGTCAAGGCGCCTGGCTTTGGCTCTTGCTTCTCGGTGAGCAGCACGTAGTATATCATCTGCACGATTTCGCCGAAGGCGACGGTGAAGCCGGTTTCGCTCTCGAACACATGCGACAAGCTCATCTGTGAGCCAAGGGCAAGGACGACGTTCCTTACGATGGCGCAAAGTGATCGGAGCATGCTTATTGAGCCATAGTAGTTCTAAGGTCTCACATTCCAAGTCCAATCTGCGACGTATTGCTAGCGACTTATGAAAGTAGACACACACACCTCCCCCATGCAATCGGCGGTCTTTACGAAAACAATGTATAGTTAGGAATTGAAATCTCGCCATCAGTTACTGAAGGTTTAAGCCAGGTCTCTGCAATTCCAAACAGATGTATGCCCCTTGAGGACATGAACTCCTTGACTTCAGCTACTTTAGTGCGCAAACTACACACGTTCAGAAACGCAATTGCTGCTGACAGATCCATGGGTGACGATTCAGTCCATAGCCTGTCCATCTCCAACAGACTCGTTGGCGACGGAATTGGAGCGATCATTGGATTCATGTTGGGGCTTCTTGGTGTCCTCAAACTTCCACTGCCTAGCGTACACTGGCTTGGGCCAGAATCGTCGGTGTTGAACAAAACCGCTGGTGCTAGAGTTTATAACAATCCGTGCAGATGACGAGTCTGCCTTCGAAAACACTTTGGAACTGTAGACACGAACAGAAACACCAGCACTATCCGCTCTGCTCACAATGAAGTTTTCCAGCTGCTCCACTGACATATCCTTCTTCAAATCTCCTATGAACAAGACACTCTTTCTCTCTGTTGGTTTTTTCGATGTGACGACCTTCCACTGTGCACCATTGCAAAGAGTGTTGTTCTATGCTTGCAAGTGCCGTTAGACCCAGAAATATTTGTATATATCACATGCTTTACTGGTCAAAATGTTTGATTGGGGTTTCCAGTTTTTGGAATGGGCTTTTGTTTTTTTTCCGCCCTCCCGCGTACCTTTTCGCGAAAAAAGGGACGTTAAACAATGAATTAACAAAGGGTGGCCTAACAGCTGTCCACAATATGTACCGGCTCCTGTATCTGTCCCGTACCGTACCAATATTCGTCGTATTATGTGTACGACTTCCTGATGTAGAGGGAGATTTGGAAAGAAATAGGGAGACGAGGAGGAAATTAAATTAGAATAGACGCCGAATAGGTGATAGGATGCGTCAGCATAAACATACTTTTGAATAGAGATCACGTCGTCTCCAAAATAAGCGTGAACGAGCGTTTCAGCGCCGGTCACAGGAAACGTCGGAAGAGAGATCCCGTCGACTCCAGAACGCCCGTGATCGGCAGAGTCCGCGCCTGTCCCAGGCAACGTCAGGACAGACATCCCGTCGAGTCCAGAACGCCCGTGATCGGCAGAGTCTAAGCCGGTCCCCGGAATCGTCAGGACAGACAACCCGTCGAGTACAGAATGCCCGTGATCGGCAGAGTCAGCGCCGGTCCCAGGAAACGTCAGGACAGACATCCCGTCGACGCGCAGAAAAACTAAATCTGCAGCCTCTTTTGCCGTCGGACAGGATACGTATTTTAGGAGACTGCAAAGTTATGTAATGTGCTCCACAGGAAACCATGCATTCGGCGTCGTCATTGGCTCAACAGGTCAATGTACATGTATTACTACAAAAAGGCCAGAAAATCCGATTACTGTATTAAAATCAACTAATTTTCGCTGGCGATTTTATTTCGCTGATTTCGCCGCTTGGTACCAACCGGCCAAAGTAAATCGCAGGCCAAAGTTTGTCACAGAGGCAAATGATGCATGATTGAGCAATGGATGCATGTGAGAGCAAAAGTACCGATCGATTTCTTTTTGAAAACTCCAATCGGCCAAAGTTTCTCATCGGCCAAAATTTGTTGATTTACAGTATAAGGAGATAAAAAGAGAAGAAGGAGTAAACCAAAAGTAGATGATATTAAAGAAATGACAATCTGCAATAAATTCTGCAAATACTTTTGCCTAACTCATAATATTCAAACTGATTGAAACGTTTTTGCAATACAATGATGTGGCCAATCAACGGAAAAAAAACATTTCCATGAGTTCTTATAACATGTACGATGAGCTAGGCAAAAAAGCATAGCGTAGGGCCCTGAGCTTCCCAGCTCTCTCGTTTCAATACTCTGTATTATTATTTTTGTTGTTACTACCGACAAATTGTAGTCTGAGCACTCGCTCGCTTTAAATACTTTAGTATTATGGTCTCTTTGCTGCGATGATTTCTCAATGCTGTTTCACCAAATGTTCAGGCATAGGGCCCATCCTCAGGCCTGAGGGTGAAACAATTTTAGAAAAAAAACTCGTAATGTGTAGGTGGTACATGGTGGCAATGGAGTTTGAAAATCCTAGCAAAAACGTCGTTATGTTTGTTCTTTTGAACTCTGCGAGTGCACAGACGCACGTGTGCACACATACACACACACACACACACACTCTCTCTCTCCCTCCCTTGGCTAGCGTTCCGTGTATTACTGCAGTGAGTGACAGTCCTGGGACAGTTGCTGCTGAGCAGCACTTTGCGGAGAAAGAAGGTCGTGATCATCAGGGAGTACAATCATGTACTCGTACTCATTGTGACCTGTCAGTGTCACTCCTGCTGGGAAGTCAGCTGGAATGGTGTGAACTGGATTGGATTGGATTTTATCAAGAGTGCATTTTATGTACTCTTGGTAGTGGTGACTATAACAGACAATTGCCTAATAAGGCGAGACCAAAATAAAATCGAGATTCCCGGGCAGGACCCATGTGAAATTGGTGCGGGCGGGCGAATTTTATTTTTTATTTTTTCCCATGTATGTACATGACTTTATGTGTGCATGCCATGTTGAACTTTTTTTACAGCATTTTCCGGTAATTTTTAATCGTTTTTTTTTACAGACAACAGGTACGCGGTT